AGCCCTGGAGACCAGAGAAAGGATTGCAGAGCTTCTGCCAGTGTGTATGGGGTGTGGTGCAATGGGAGTGGCTGGCTTAGCAGGAGGGCTTTATAAAGGTGGGAGTGTGGAAGGCAGGCCATGCAGGGGGAAGAGTGTGATATAGCCCCAAAGGAATTAATGAGGATGTGGGCCAAGGTGCTGTTGCAGGAAAGGTGGCGTTGTGAAACAGATTTGGTCTGGGGGTTGAAGGTCAGATTGGCAAGGTTTTGATCCTGACTGCCTTGTGGTGGAGGTATTGGAAGATGGGGATTCCAAAGGGTGAACTGTTTTGCGCCTAAGAATCCAATGGGGATGATGACATTTCATACCGTGGAAATAACCAGTAAATAGCGGTAAATCCCTGAGTCTGAGAAAAGATGTCTAGTCTCAAGAACTGAGTCGTTCACATAAGTCACTTGAAATGAAGTTAACTGACTTGAACAACTGTTTCCACTTTACTCTTAACAACAACAAAAAAACCCACATACAAAAAGTAGTTAACATCAGTCTTAGCAGATTACAGCATAAAAATAACTGTCAGATTTTACTTGAATTTAAATACATCTCTGATCAGAGAAACATTGGCATCAAAAAGAGGAAGTAACCTGAGAAAGGGGAGGTGTGTGTGACAAACATCTCTCCCCATGAGCAAGGAGAATGCGGTATCTTACAATTCATAGATCTGTGGCTTCTGCTAAGTTACTTTTTCTTTGTAAAACCAAATGTAAGAGGTTTTTAAACTCTTGTTTCCTAAAAGACCATAGGGTACTACGTATACGTTAATGAAACTTAATTACAGTTTTAAAAAAATAAAAGATAAAGGTGATACCTGAAAATAGAACTGAAGGATGAAGAAAAAGAATTTCACCCTCTTCAGGCATTCAGTCCCCTTTCCTCTAACCCGTTATCTTCTTCCGCTGCCTTTAAGAGACAGCAAGAAATACACACCTTAAAAAGAAAAGTCTTTTTTACACCGAACTTTAGCATGAAGCCTACTAATGTTTCATCCTAGGGCTGCGCTCCTGCAGCCCACAATCTACTCCTGGAAAGAAACTGACTTCCTAAGAGTTGCAAACGGTGACACATAGCATGAGGGAAATCTGCACTGTTAGAAGCTTGCCCAGGGCTGCTGACACATGGGTCATCAGGAACGGCTCCGGGCAGAATGGGGTCTACAGGGCTGTGGGCCAGGGGCGACTACCGACGGTGAAGTCGCGGGACAGCCACAATGTCAGAGGCCGGCGGTGGTCGGGCCCTGCTCCCTCTCATCCACTGGACCTTTATTCCCCCGCACGACCCCAGACGGCCGGCGTCGGGGAGGACCCCCAGCGACGATGGCTCCGCGTGTGCGGGGCTGTCGGGATCCGCAGGTGAGGCAGCAGCGCGGGGACAGGCTGCTGGGACCCTAGAAGTTCACAAGCTCCCAGCAAAACCGAGCGCAGGTGCCGCCCTGCTGACGTCAGACAGCGAGACTCCCGCGATGCCTTGCGCGGTGCAGGAGTCGGGAGTCAGAGCCGGAGTCGGAGCACGCGTCTCAGGTGCGTGCTGCGTGGTGCGGGCTCCGTGGCTGGGGACACTCCCGCCCCCGCCCCCGCCGTCAGAGCGCACCTGGTCCTTGGCTTCCGCTTACACCACGGAGCGCAAAACAGGTCCTGTCAGTGCCGCCGGTCGCCGCAGGCAGGTAGAGACTGATAATTAAGTGTGTGTGCTGTGTGCAAAGCAGCTTACTGTACCTCAAATGACAAGCGTGAGAGCAGGTGAAGTGTTACAATAATAGTAATAAACTGGAGCGTCAATAAATAACAACTAAAAGTCACATAGTACTTATTCTGTACCAGAGATTGTTTTCAGTGGTTTACAAACACTTGACCCTACAGCCACCCTACAAAGCAGGTACCAGTGCAGTGACGCAGAACAGATCCTAGAACTATGTAGCCCAGCTTTGAGTGCCTGCTTTTCCATTTACCAGCAGTGTGACCTGGGGGGAGCTTGTTTCTCAGTCTCCCCCTCTGCTGAAAGAGGGTAATTCTAACGCTATACATTTGTTACGAGGATCAAGTGAGTTAAAACTTGTAAAGCGTACAGAACAGTGGTAGGCACATAGTAAAAGCTATCTAAGTTTTTGATGAATTTTATTTTTACAGATGAGAAAACCGAGGCACAGAGGAGTTAAATAATTTTCCTAAGACCACACAGTTATATATAATGGAGTTGGGACACAAACCTGAGGAAGCCTGGTTTCAGAGCCTGCACTCATGAGGAAACACACACACACACACACACACACACACACACACACACACACTCTCTCTCTCTTTCTTTTCTTTTTTCTTTTTTCATTCCCCTGACTGGTGTAGCTCAGTCGGTTGGCTGTAGTCTTGCCAACTGAAAGGTTGCCTGGGTTGTGGGTTCAGTCTTCAGTTCTCATCAGGGCACGTAGAACAGACAGTTGACCAATGTTTCTCTCCCTTTCTCACTCCCTCCCCCACTCTTTAAAAATAAAATCTAAAAAGGAGAAAAAAATAGTTTAAAAAAATTGATTTTGGAGGGAGGAAAAAACCATAGGTTTGTAGTTCCTTATTCATGCGTTCATCGGTTGATTCTTGTATGTGCCCTGACCAGGGATCAAACCCACAACCTTGGGTTATCTGGGATAGGCCAACACTCTAACCAGCCGAGCTAGCTGGCCAGGGCAGGGCCTGTACTCCTAAATACTACACTTTAGCTATGAAGAGGGGACGTCCATATGAATTATTCTATGAGGGAAGTGGGTGGGGGAAGCCCTGAATTAATGGATGCGGAATCTTCTAGCACTTAGGATGTCATTGTTTCTTCTGTCGTGGTAAATGAAGTGTTCATCAGCTGGCTGGACTGCCCCCAAGTGTCCAGCAGTTTCTGGAAGAGCAGTCTGAGGCAGAAGCTGGGGCTGAGAGGCTGGCTTTCAGCCAGGTCTCCCCAGGCTCCTGTTCATCTTTCTTCCTCTCAGCAGGCCTCCCAGGGAGCTGGGTGTGGAAGTTACTTGCAAAATGGCAACTTAAGGTGGAAAATCCTTGCAAAGCCTCTGCAACTTTAAGCACCCGGTAAACAATTCAACTCAACAGCTGAATTCTGGGGCTTGGGGATACTGTGGTGAATTCAGGGACCACTTGGACCTCTCTGTTTTCCCACAGTTCTGTTGAGGTAATAAATGTTCAAACCTGTAGAGAACTTTTTTTTTTAATTCTCACCCGAGGATTTTCGTTGTTGGTTTTTGAGAGAGAGGAAAGGAGAGACAAAGAGAGAAACATCCGTGTGTGAGAGAAACATCCATCAGCTGCTTCACAGACACGCTCCGACTGGGGGATGGGACCCACAACCTCGGAACGTGCCCTGATCAGGAGTCGAACGAAACCTTTTAGTGCACAGGATGAGTCACCCGGTCAGGCCAAATCTGTAGAGAATTTTTATAATTTTACTTGAGCTAAACTGACAATTGCCAGGACACAAAATCAATGGGTTGAGAAAATGCTCCGGAAAATGGCAGTTTTACCACTTATCTTATACATTGGAATAAAAGAGGAACACTAAAAGGGTTATATGAAATTCATTGGTGATAGATTAGGGAGGCCAGAGAAAGCAAAGTGGTGAAGATTATATAAAAAGTAAAACGAATAGACACATATTTCCTTTACAATTGTGGATAATTAACAGTTAACAATTAACATGATAACAATAACAATGAGGGGATTTGTGGTCTATGGGTGGTTGTGCCTGAGGGGTCTGGGGAAAAAAGGAAATCACCTTGACAAAGGTATGTTGTTGTAGGTGAAAAACAGAATCAGTTAAGGTATAAAGATTGACCTTTGTCAGGGACAATACTGACTTAGGGCAGGACAACCTGCGGAGATCAGTTTTTAGTTAGAAAGTTTTGATTTCAGACCATCCTGTGTGGTTATTTTCAGTCTCTGAGTTTGTAAGGCAGCCAGGTAGGCCTCCCCTGAGCTTGTCAGGCTTAGTATGTGGCATCTTCCCTGTCCCTTTGCCCCCAAGGCCAAAGGTGGAGACGCCCGCAAGTCAACAGCAAGTCAACAAGCGGATTAGGGGCAGTGGACCCCAAGAATAAATAGGAAATGGGTGGGAGGGGCGGAAGTGTTCCTGACCCAAGCAAAGGCAATGAGCTAGCAAGTTTCTTTTGGCTAGGGATGCGGGGTGGTGGCCGGTAGATTCCTATTAATCTGATTAGGGAGGACCGAGGTTTTAAGTTCTGGAGGAGCCAGATCAGGTTTACATTTTATGGGGCTCACTCGGGCCGCTAGGCAGGACTAGAGCCGAGGAGTCCGAGCCCCCAGATTCGAGGCTGAAGAGGAAGCAGGTTGGAAGGCGCAGCCCTGGTCTATGTAGGGGTGAGAGGACCGTTTCAGGGCAGGGGCTGCAGGCCGGAAGAACGGCTTGCACTAGCCTTGGGCTAGTTTCATCCGAGGGCCGTTTCCCCGACCTGCCTCTCCCATCCAGACGGCTCACTCCCTTTTCTCGGTCTTTGCTAAGTGGGCTACACCTGGACCACCCGATCCACACCTGGCCTGGGCCCAGACTGAGTTCCAAGGCGACAGGTTCAGAGAAGCATCTTTCCGATCCTCCCTGCCCTGGGGATTCAAGACTCTGAGGCTGTGGGGCCGCCCGCCCGCCGGCCGGCCCCGCCCCGTAGCAGCCCCCGCCTCCGTCAGGCCCCGCCCCGAGCCCGCCCGAGCCCGCCCCTTTGCCTGCGCGCCAGGCCCGGGCGGTGCCGACGCGCTTGGCGGGAGATAGGAAAGTGCTTCTGCGCGCGCTAGCGGTGGCTGCAGTTTCTGCGAGCGGCGGTGGACCTGCGGAGAGGCTGACGCCTCCCAGCGCGGCCCCGGGGCCCGGAGCGGCCGGAGCAGCCCGCGCTTTGACCCCGGCCCGGCTCCCGCTCCGGGCTCAGCCGGCGGGCAGGCGAGCGCGGCGCGGCCCGGGCCGGGGGGATGTCTCGGCGGACGCGCGGGTGAGCGAGGCAGAGCCGGGCGGGTGAGGGCCCCCCCCCCAGGACCCATCCCCCTCCACGCGGCCCCTGCCCCACCCCCACCCTCACCACGAGCGGGGCTGGGTTCCCACGGTGAATGCTGGGTCCTGGGCCACCTGAGGCAGGGGGCGCGCCAAGCCGGGGGTCTCTTGGGGCCTCTCTTTCCGCTCCCCGGGCCTGTTGGGCCTCGGATCCGGGACGAGTTGGTCTCCTGGGACCTGGGCCAAACCCTGCGTGAGGTCATTTCGTCTCCCGCCTAATTGCGGGGTGGGGGTGGGACAGCGGTGTCCGCTGGAAGAGCCATTACCGGAGAGGGAGGCGACCCCTGGAGAGGGAAAGTGATTCTCCAAGTCACGACATGCGGGAGGCCAAAGCCGGGAAGACACTTGTCGTTCAACACTCCTTGTGTTCATGTTGGCCGGTGGGGATTTCTTCTCAACATTTGTGGAAGCACAGAGCACCCTAAGCCCTCTCCTGGACTTGAGAAGGGTGCCGGGGATGTAGGGGTAGAGAAGGGCCTCTTTTGTCTCCTGCCACCTGGGGTTCCCGGTTTCAGCTGGGTTGAGTTTCAGAGACCTTTCTTCCTGTTCCACTTGAGTTTTAGATCAGCTGGGGTTGACGATGGGAAGAGACAGCATGTTGGGTATCAAGATCATTCTGTTTTAGCAGTCTCTGGGGCCAAGGCAGGAACTGCGGTCGACGTTTTACTCATTCCCCTAGAGAATAAGTGGCAGAGTTGAGCCTGAAACCCTGTCTCTTTCTTAACACCTGTGCACCTGGGGCCTGAACCCTGGGCTTTTCGTTCAGTTTGGGAATCAGAGATGACAATGGGGGCCTCCCCTGTTCCCTCTCCAGATTCATGAAGCCCAGATAACTTTAAATGGGGTTTGCCTTCTCAGAACGAGGGCACAGACCTGAAAAGCACCCGTTGCTGGCTTGCCCCTGAGCTTCTGTCAGCAGAGAAGCATCTGATCGCTGGGCAGTAGTCAGAGTATTTTGCACACAGGGTCTTCTGGCCACAATTTCCCGGGTCATCTCCAATTCCCAGGAGTTTTCTGGTCTGGTGCTTGTCAGACCCTGTCCTGACTTTTGGTTCAGGAAGTATTCTTCCAGGGAACCACAAAAGCCCCAGACAACCCCCAGTCCCCCTGCCACCTCTCCCCTGGGACTCAGGGGAGGAGCCCCCTCCCATGAGAAGGATGGCTTCTGCACTCTGGCAGTCCTCACCCTCTGTAACTTTCCCCTCGCCAGTGCCGCCCCCCACTTCCCGCTCAGCTTCTTCTGACTCACCCCACCTGGAGCAGAGCCCAGCACAGCGAAGCCCATAGAAAGGGTGTGTTGGACTTACACGTGGTTGCCACCACTGACTTGGCCTCTGCTTTTCAACTGGAATTAATGAAGTGGGGGCTTGAAGGTGTAGATTTTGAACCTGACTCTGGACATGGCGAGTGGCATGACCCCTGTGAGCCTCAATTTCCACATCTGTTAAATGGGGATTATGAGAATGCGAATGACAGGAACAGTCAGTGCCATGCTGGTGATAGAAGTTTATCATCGCTCACAGAATTCTCTCAACTAAGGCCCCGGCCAGGTCGCCCAATTGGTTGGAGTGTCAGCCTAACAGGGTGAGGTTGTGGGTTCGATCCCCAGTCAGGGCACATACAAAAGTCAACCAGTGAATGCATAAATAAGTAGAACAAACCATTGTTTCTCCCTCTAAACCAAAAACAAAAAAAAACTTAAGAATTCCTCCCACCTGAGTTGTTGTCCCCATTAGAGTATTAGAGAGTGTTCACACAGACACTTGTTCATCCTGAGCTGGGTGCTGGAAAATGAAAGATGGTTTCTGTCAGAAAGAGGTCTGGGGGCAGATGATTTTAAAGCCAACTTCTTTTTGTCCTTAGTATCTTACAGAGTTTTTGTCTTCTACTCTGCGATGGTGGAAGAACCCATGAACTGGTTCAGGAATGACTGGGCAGAGCTGAATTCCAGGTCCTCTGTGATGTATTGCTGGGTTTAGACACTGTCACTTTCCTCCTTCCAAAAAATTGGCCTTCCTTGTGTACTAACAGGCAACATTGTATGTTCATTCATTCCTGAACCCGTTCATTCATTCCTGAACCCGGTCATTCTCTGAGCAAACATTTAGGGCTTTTTGGTGCCAACACCCAAAGGCACCGTGGATGTGGAGGTGGAGCTGACCTCTGTCCGTGACATCAAGGAGACAGGAAGCCTAAGGCCTACGGTCTTTTTTTTTTTTTTAAGTTTGAGAGTGTGGTTATTAAACCTGGGGACAGTGAAACAAGGAAGGCCTTAGGACAGAAGGAGCAGGAGAGAGCCTGGGTGGGGCTGCTTTGGCTCTAGAAATGTCCTAGGGGAGAAATGAGCCTGTGTGTAGACAAGGATTGAGGGGATATGCAAAAATGGACATATTACTAAGATAATATGTTTAAAATGTTTTTCCCAAATAACCAGCATTTCTTAAAATTCTGGTGCTTCATGTCTACAGACACTGTCAGCTTTAATCCTTAGACTATCCATGCAAGTTTTAAAAGCTGTTGTTGAAGAGAAAATATTAAATAGGTGTCTGGTTTTTCCCTGGCTGATGTGGCTCAGTGGACTGAATGCTGGCCTGCCTATGAACAGAAGGATTACTGGTTCGATTCCCAGTCAGGACACATGCCTGCGTTACATGCTGGGTCCCCAGCTGGGGGCACGTGAGAGGCAGCTGGTCAATGTATCTCTCACACATAGATGTTCCCTTCTTCACTTTCTCCCTCTTTTCTCCTCTCTCTAAAAATAAATAAAATTTTAAAAAAAGATTTTATTTATTTCTAGAGAGGGGAAGGGAGAAGGAGAAGGAAAGAAACATCCATGTGTGGTTGCCCCTCACATGCCCCCTGTTGGGGACCTGGCCCGCAACCCAGGCACCCAGGCACGTGCCCTGACTGGGAATTGAACCGGCGACCCTTTTGTTCACAGGCCGGCTCTCAGTCCACTGAGCCACACCAACCAGGGCTAAATAAATTTTAAGTAGGTTTCTGGTTGTGGGTATCAGAATCTTAGTGAAATTTCAACTTTTTTTCTTGTAGCTTTTCCAATCTTTAGGGTGTTCCTGCAAATAAAAGAATAAAGAAGAAAATGAAAAGAGCCCATAACCTCATTTTGTTAGAATTTTTAAAAAGAGGAAGGTAGAAGTACCTGTGTTTTTGAAAGCAGAAAGAGTAAAATCCTGCTTCCCTCAGGCCTTTCCCTAGAAGTCACGGGCCCCTGCCCATACGCTGTCCATCCTTCATATAGCAGGGTAGGGAGACCCACGTCCTTGAACTTTGGCTTGCTCTCCCCGCAGTGAGGAGTTGGATGAGCTACACTACCAGGATACAGATTCAGACGTGCCGGAGCAGAGGGACAGCAAGTGTAAGGTCAAATGGACCCACGAGGAGGTGAGTGACATGGAGGGGCACTCAGAGCAGAGGCGGTGGCAGCCCGGTGCGTGCGATGAGGAGGAGGAGCTGATGAAAGAAGTGGATGGGCCCTCTGGTTCTCCCTGATGCCTCTTCTCAGAGCATTCTTGGGGACCCTGCCAACATGGAGGCCTCTTGGGAGGACGGAGGGTTGTGTCTGTCAGACCTCAGGGCCAGCAGTCGCATCTCGTAGAAGCTGGCGTGTTCTGCGTCATGGACAGCAATTGTGCCGCTTGTCCTGTAGCTGCTAGGAGGTAAAGCCCCATATGCAAACTCCCTCCCCGCTTATTATTATTTTAAGAAATTGTATCTTATGACAGCAAGTCCTGAAGTGATCTTCTTTTTATTCTTTAAGCAGCGTTATGGAAGTATAGTGGTTGTGCAACCAAATGCATCTTTTAAAAGTGAACGGCTCCAATGGTTTTTACAGATGTGTTTACTCACGTCAGCGCCGCCGTGATCTATTCCAAAATGTCTCCTTTGTGGTCCGTCTGCCCCATCCCCAGGCAGTCGCTGGCCTAGTGCCTCTTGGCTTGGTTCACTTCGCTTGTTCTTGAATGTCTTATCAGTGAAATCATACAGCTGTACTCTTTTTCTCTCTGGCTTCTTTTGTTCGGCAAAATGTGTGATTCGCTAATTTGTTCATTTTCATTGCTGAGTAGCATTCCATTATGTGGATATACCACAATGTGTCTCACGTGTTGATGGGCAATTGGGATCTTCCCAGTTTGGGCTATTGTGGATGGAGCTCTGTGAGGGGTCCTGATCAGTCTTTCTGAGGATGTGATTTCCCTGGGCAGGCAAATTAGGTCATTAGGTACAGTCATGGGAGGGGGGTATGTCTTATAGAAACTGCCAGATCTTTTTCTAAATTGGTGGTACCATCTTAGACTCCTATTGGCTTTATCTTTTTTTCCTACCTCTCTTTGCTTGGGCATGCTTAGTTTTTGGTCTTTTTTTCCCCCCCTTAGTGTAGGAGTTGTAAATTCCTCTTCTATCATAAAAGATAGTTCTTCAGAGGAGTCAGCCTTTTCTGTTCATCTCACATCCTGCCGTGGCCCAGGGACTGCAGCTCTCGTGGGCTTTGAAGAACACGCAAGATGGAGTCCCTTCCCCAGAGCAGCCCTCTGCCTGGGACAGAGAGACAGGACTGCACACAGGCCCGTGGACGTGCTCTGGTCGTCCACGGCACCAGCAGGACCCGGGTCTGTGTGTCGCACTAAGGCTCCTAGCCCACAGGCGGCACTGGTGATTGTTGAAATACTTTTAGAAGAGGTTGCTGTTGCCTGAAGAGAGATTAGGGGAAGTTTCATGGATAAGGATTTTGAAATTCAGCAGTCAGGGAGGTAATTGTTGAAATACTTTTAGAAGGAGAGGTTACTGTTGTCTTGAGAGGTTAGGGGAAATGTCAGAATGAGGATTGGGAAACCCAGCCGGCAGGGCAGGGACGGGTGCAGGACACGGGAGCGGGAGGGTGGGCAAGTCAGAGTAGGGGCTGGGTCGTGGGTGGAGAAACGCCAGCAGGGGAGCCCTGGTCTGACTGGAGTGAAGAGTCCTTGAAGGGGAAGCCTGGTTGGAAAAGATCGATGGGGGCCAAACCCTGGAGGGCCTAGAATGTCAGGCCCAGCATGTAGGCTTCCTCAGCTGGCAGTGGGGAGCCACTGAAGGTTTTTAAGGCAGAGGAGTGATGTAACGTAGCCGGGCTTCAGGGGAGCTCACCTGCTGTGCCTAGGGCGGGTTAGAGCGTTGGGGCCAGAGACAGCTGGGAGTGGGGAGTGGGAGTGTGCCACTGCATGGCACAGGCAAGACAGTGTGGCTGTGGAGAGGCTAGGGCGATGCAGGGCGGGGTCAGTGGGTGGAGGGGGCCCACGAGGAGTTAGAGACGAAATGACAAAAGTGTTCAAAGTGGCAATCGTCGGGAGGACAGGGGTGCTAGAGATGGACGTGGGGGGAGGCAGGTGCCGGCCTGGCCAGGCTGGACGGCAGAGGAAGGCGGGGAGTCTGGGGCTGGCTGGGTGGGTGTCAGCTGGCCCAGCTTCACGATTTATGGGGACTTCATCCAGCCGGTGCTGGACTGTGGCCAAGCTGCAGCTGAGGGTCTGGATTTCTGTGGATTTTTTTCTTTCTGTCCAGGAGAGAGAGGGAGGGAGGGAGAACATATAACATTAAACTACCATTGTGCCACTTTTAAACGTACTGTTCAGTAGTGTTAAGTACATTCCCAGGTGCAGGAGATCTTTAGAACTTTTTCGTCTTGCAAAACTGAATCTCTCTACCTATTAAACACTTAATTCCTCAACCCCGTTCCATAGCCCTTGGCAACCACCGTTCTACTTTCCATTTTTGTGACTGGCTTACTTTGCTTAGCATAATGTCCTCGAGGTTCATCCATGTTGTAGCCTGTGTCAGAACTTTCTTCTCTTTTCAGGCGGAATAGTAACACCTTGTATGGATATATACCACATTGTCTTTATTTAAATTGCATTTAAAAAATCAATTTGATTGAGGGGTACTTCACATACAGTCAGCTGCAACGCCTTAGAGTGTGATTGGAAGAATTTCTGCAGACGTATTCCAGTGAACCTGCCAGCACCTTCACCTTCCAGAACACTTCCCATTACCCCCGACACTCCTCGCTCCCCTTTGCTGTCCATCCCTCCTCCCTCTACGCGTGTTCTCAGGCGGCCACTGCCTGCCTTTTTGTCCCTAAGGTTTAGTTTACATTTTTTAGAATTCCGTGTGCATGGAGCCACATGGTGCTTATTCTTCTGTTTGGCTTCTTTCACTTGTCATAGTGATACTGAGATTCCATGCCGCTGTGCAAGGAGGTAGTTCATTTTCAGGAGAATATTTTAACAGACACTTCTGTCTTCTGACCGCTCTGTATCCTGCCCCCATCTCCCCGTCCCCCGCGCCGTGATCATCTCTGGTCGCCTTTGGTCCACCCCGCTTCCTCACAGCCTCTTTTCCTGCAGCTGCTGAAGTGAACGCACAGCTGGCACTGTGGACCGTGATCGCCCCGTGCTCAAATGCACCAGGGGCTGTGCCAGACACAGAGGCCCGGATCGATTCTGCGCGTGGCCTGTCCCCTCCAAAATCAGCTTGCATCCCTCCCTCCTTCCCTCGCTTCCCGCACTCCAGCTACGCTAGACTTTCTTTGGGCCTGTCCCCTGTGCTCCACGAATAGGCATCGCCCCATATCTCTCCCCGTCCCCTGCACGGTGGCTTTGCCGCTGTTTGTGGGAGACTTGGATGCGCATCTGTCTCCCTCTGGGCCATAAGGCTCACCAGGTCAGTTGTTGCCTCGTCTGCAGCGCCTGGCCCACAGTATGTTACAACTGAATGGACAGATGTGGCTGTTGCTGGAGCGGGCTCTGTCACAGACAGCTGCCTCCTGCACTGTGTGAGCTGAGCCCTCTCTCACTCTCTGGCGTTGGCAGGACGAGCAGCTGAGGACCCTGGTGAGGCAGTTTGGACAGCAAGACTGGAAGTTCCTGGCCAGCCACTTCCCTGTGAGTGCAGCCCTTCTGCGCCCTGCCCCCCGCCCTGGGACAGGGCTCTGAGTGACCCGACAGCTTTCTGGGGACAGACTTCCTGCCAAGCAGGAGAAAAAGGGTATTCCTTACCACCCCCGCCCCCCCCCCAGGCCTTTTCTCCCCAAGCTGGAACTCCAAGCATCCTGACTAATATCACACTGCAGCCTCAGTATGCCTGTGGTCTTCAGGCTCTGATGTTGCTGCATGTGACCGGTGGCATATTTGCATTTTTTTCTGCAAGTGAGGCACGAATTGGTGCTCAGTTTCTCAATAGTGAGCCTGAAACTGAGGGGAAGTGGTACTTCCAGCAGGCTTCACGATGAGGCCCCCTCTCGGGGGGGTCTCCCTCAGGTCCCCCCTCCCAGGATGGCAGGCACCTGCCTGGGAGAGGTGTGGTCGGAGCTGCTATCTGGCTTATTTCTTGGGTCACTCAGGGAGCTTCAGAACCAAATTACTAGGTTCCTTTGCTCCATTCCTCATCTCCCTCTTCCAGGTGATTTGAAATAACATGATCAGGGAAGTAACCTCCTAGAAGCAAGCAGGGGTCCTTGCAATACCCCGCCAGCTTTTATAGGGGTTTAAAAGCTCATGATGGCTGCCCCCTTGTGTCAGGGTGGTGGAGGTAGCTTCCCACAGGGTTCTTAGTTTGCCCAGTTCCTCCCATGTTGTCTGTAGCAAAGAGAAACCACATGTGTTCTGGCATGTGGCTGAGTGGTGGGTGCAGGAGCCAGACAGAACCCATGTGAGGTGGGCCTGGGCCAGGCCACAGTCCCCTGAGCCCAGTGATCACGCAGGATCCAAGGCCGCCTCCCCAGTTCCCCACAATGCCTATCCCCCCAGAACCGCACTGACCAGCAATGCCAGTACCGGTGGCTGAGGGTCTTGAATCCAGATCTCGTCAAGGGGCCGTGGACCAAAGAGGAAGATGAGAAGGTAACTCCTGGGACAGTGCCTTGTACACAGTGGGCCCTTAGAGTGAGTCCAGGGGCTGCGAGGCTGCCCTCGTGTTTGGCGGGAGGTCCAGCTGAAGGGCGGGTGCGCGTCCTCTGCGGGTCGGTCAGTCGCACCTCCCAGGGCTGCGGTGAGGCGCAGGCAGAGAGAAGGGGCTGGCGCGAGGCGGGGGCAGGCCCGCTGGCTTCACGAGGCTTACCTCCAAGGTCATCGAGCTGGTTAAGAAGTACGGCACGAAGCAGTGGACGCTGATTGCCAAGCACCTGAAGGGCCGGCTGGGGAAGCAGTGCCGGGAGCGCTGGCACAACCACCTCAACCCTGAGGTGAAGAAGTCCTGCTGGACCGAGGAGGAGGACCGCATCATCTGCGAGGCCCACAAGGTGCTGGGCAACCGCTGGGCCGAGATCGCCAAGATGCTGCCCGGGAGGTGAGCCGCCTTCAGGGGGGCCTGGGGATGGGGGGACCGGCGGGGCGAGAGCCTTGCGGGTGAACGTGCCTGGCTAGAGTCTTCTCTGGAGTTGCTCACTTTCCCAGAGATGCACACGTCCTTCAGACTCTGGCCGGGGCCCGGCTGCAGGGAGTTCTGGGGCAGGACGGAGAGACGTGGCCCCGGGACCTCCCACTCACTGTGCAGGTTTTCTTCTTTCTTTTTTTAAGGTTTTATTATATTTGTTTTTTAGGTCGGGGGGGGGGGCGGGGAGAAAGAAAGGGAGAGAAACATTGATGTGCGAGAGAAACATAGATTGGTTGCCTCTCACATACCCCCAACTGGTGACCTGGCTGGCAACCCAGGCCTGTGCCATCCCAGGAACCAAACCTGTGATCTTTTGGTTCTCAGTCCAGCACTCAGTCCCCTGAGCCTCACCAGCCAGGGCCACTGCTGTGAGCAGGGTTGCCTGGTCCCTTTTATTTTTTTTTTTTAAGAGAGAGAATAAACTTGTGAGGTCAAGGCCAGGGTCTGGAGGTCCGAACCACTGCCCCGCTTTCACCCTGCTCCCTACTTGGGCCTGGTCCCTCCAAGCCCTGAGTCTCGAGAGTTTTTGTCAGGAGCGTTGGGAAGACTTGGCTTTCTTCCTGCCAGAATCTTCCTCCGGGTCAACTCCCAGTCTCCTCGAAGTTGCTTAGTGCCCTCCTAATGAACTGTGCTTCATCTTCTGGAAACTCTAAAGACCTCTTGTTTGCTGTCGTCCTCTACACTGTTCTTTGTCGTTGCGCACATTCACCTTACTTTGTTTTATTTTTAACCCTTTTCTCATGACACTGTGGTCCTGGGAGAGGGAGAGGACGTAGAATGCCAGACGGTGTGTTTCCCTTGGAGAATTGCATGGTCTGCTTTCCAAAGTCCGGCCCAAGTCTGGTCGCTTTCTGGAGCTTCTCCTGGCACTTGAGTTGAAGACTCGGCCTCTTTCCCTGTGCGGCCTGCTGGGCCGGCTCCGGTCGCCAGCCTCGCCTTGGTCCACTGCATCCTTGCCCGTCGGTCCCTCCTCTCCCTCACGCATGGGGAGCCTTCTCCAGCCACCCCTGCACGCCTCCCGTGGCCTGGAATGCCCTTGGCCTTGCGCCCATTGTGTAGCCAACGTGTTCTCACCCTTTGGTTTTCGGCGGGTATCATTTCCTCAGAGAAGCTTTCTCTGTCCTTCCAGCCTGTGCATGGTCCCTGGTGACCTGGCCACAGTGCCCAGCTTGTGTTCGAGTGTAATTAGACAACGATGCCCGTCTCCCCTGCTAGAGGAGACTGTAAATGCAACTGCCTGTCTTACTTGCCGCATAATGGGCACTTCCTAAATATGTGTGAGCAAAAGAATGGCGTGGTTTAAGCACCCGAGATCTGATCGTGGGGGCCGGAAGGGGTGGGAGGTGTTTTGTGTCAGGCCTCCTGGAAGCAGAGGTTGGGGTGCGGGGGGTTCGTGGAGGAAGGGCTCTCGCCTGTGAGAGGCGGAGAGGTGAAGAGTAGGGCAGGGGCCCGACGAGGTGGGGGCTCAGTCTGGCCTCGACCCGGTACGTGCTCTGTGTGTGTGTGTGCGCTGATGGTGTGCAGTGGGAGTGACCGGAGGTCCAGAACCTCCCCTTAGACTGGCCGCCCAGCCACGCTGTTACTCTGTGTTCGCGATTCGAGGGCAGTGCACTCCGCCCCGAGCCCCAGAGAGCGACATGGCTCCTGTGTGTGAGCATGTCTATACTCCTGTGTACTGGTATTTAGCAGAGGGGAGTGGAAAGGCTCTGTCCATCATTAAGGGCTAGAAACATGTGTGACTTCATCTTAGAGGCGAGAGAGACCTTCAAGTTCCTCAGGCTGAACCCTCATTTACAGAAGTGGGAGCTCAGCTCAGGGAGGTTAGCGATACGCTTGGTGCCACACGGGCCACCGGGTTCAAAGGTCCCTTGTTTGCCCCCTCAGGACAGACAATGCTGTGAAGAATCACTGGAATTCCACCATCAAAAGGAAGGTGGACACAGGAGGCTTCCTGAGCGAGTCCAAAGACTGCAAGCCCCCCGTGTACTTGCTGCTGGAGCTTGAGGGCAAGGACGCGCCCCAGAGTGCCCAGCCTGCGGAAGGCCAGGTGAGAGGGCGGCCCAGCCACTGCGCGGGCTCTGGGTGGGTTGGTTCGATCGCAGGGCTGTCCATCCCTGTGTCGTTTAACACCTGCTCTTCCCCTGTCACCTTCCCCACAGCTGTCGATCAGTTTCTGCTGAGGGTCTCGCTGTGGCCGCATGTCTCTCACTCGGGCCTCTCCTTGTCACACACGTCTGCGCATACCTGGCACGTGTCTGCCCACAGGGGAAGCGTGACAGAGCAAGCTGACCTCAAAAACTGAGGATTGTCCTCAGCCTTTCTCTGTCCTCATCAACAACTCCCTTCCTACCCACTGCTTTTCCCAGCTTTTTCATACTAAAAGCGTGTCGGCGACTTTATTGTATTTTCTAAATTTGTATTGATTTTAGAGAGGGAGGGGGTGTGGAGAGAGGAAGAGGGGGTAGAGACAGAGAGAGGGAGAGAGAGACAGAGAGAGAAAGGGGCACCCACTTGTTGTTCCACTTATTTATACATTCTTTGGTTGACTCTTGTGTGTGTCCTGACTAGGATCGAACTTTTTTACCCGAACCATTTGAAGGTCAGTTACCTGCCTCTTTCTGTTAATATTTCAGTGTGTTTCCTGAGAACACAGGCATTCACTGACACAGCCGTAGCACAGTTGTATCTAATTTAAGGAATTTTACGCTGATTCAGGACTTTTTTCCCTACGTCTATCTAATCTACAGTCTATATTTTGTTTTTTCCTGCTCCTGATCCCATCCGGGATTCGACATTGCATTTACCTGTCACACCTCTTTTGTGCACTTTTAACTGTCATCAGCTTTTCGCAGTCTTTCCTGATACTGATGTTCTCAAAGTACACGGTAAAGCCGGTTATGGCAGAGACTGTCTCTCAGTTTGGGTTCATTGAAGTTTCCTTACTCGATTCAGGTTGTGCAGTTTCTAGCTGGAATGCAGCATAATCCGTATCTCGGAACAGAAACTCCAGACAGTGTGCCCTTGTGTCCAGCAGGGAAGCCTCGTGCCCGACTGGCCGCCGGCACTCCCTGCCGTGAAGGAGGAGGAGAGCAGTGAGGAGGAGGCCACGGCAGCAACCCCCGCGAAGGAGCCGGAGGCCGTTCCCGCAGAGCTGGACGCCGTGCGGACACCGGAGCCCTTGGACGACATCCCCAAGCATGAAGACCAGGAGGGCTCCTCGCCAGAGACCAGCCTGCCCTATAAGTGGGTGGTGGAGGCCGCAAACCTCCTGATTCCAGCCGTGGGGTCCAGCTTCTCGGAGGCCCTGGACTTGATCGAGTCGGTAATGTTGGTCACGGCGCTTCACTGTGGACCCAGAGCAGCCCCCCGAAGGGGGTCCTCTCGTGGGCGGGCATCCTTCTATTCACTCAGTGTCCCAGTAACATTAACTGAGCTGATGCTGAGCGTCCAGCCTGCAGCCAGGGCCTGGGGAACCTGAGATGGTTGCCATACGGTCCCTGCCCTCAGGGAGCTCCTGGCTCACAATGCCCGCCATGTGGTGGGGTGGGAGGGCTCCCCAGGGGCGCTGGGAGTGCACCGTGTCCTCGCGGATGACGCTGGGGCAGGGTGTTGACACCGGTGACACAGCACAGTTGAGTGTGGTGTTTGTGTCACCACAGGTGGCTGGGTGCCCCTGGAGAGAGGCCTGGGAGCTGGTGGGGTGGAGCGGTGCGTGGGTTCTGATTGCTCTGGGGCTGCAGCCTCTGAGGCCCAGCTGGCTGTGGTTTGTACGCCTGGGGAGAGCGCTCTGCGGTGGGTGCTGCCCTGCCGGGCCGTGCCCGCCAGGCCTGTAGTGGGCAGTGGAGTCCAGGGCAGGTGCCCCACGTTCACCTTCCCTCTTGCTCTTCACCTCTCCTTGGTAAACCTAATGACGTTTACTGAATGTCTGTTACATCCCAGCCTCTTGAGTTTAACGGACAGCCCACCCAGTATTTGATGAGGTGTGTCCTTGCCCAGTTTTGTAGCTGAGACGGAGGCTCAGAGAGGTCGGGTCGTGTGCCCAAGGTTGCACAGCGGGCGAGCTCGGTGGTCTCGACCGTGGTGCTGTGCGCTCACTCTCTTGTTTATGGGTGGTCGGGTGGTACGGTCCCTTGGAGGCCATCTCTAAGACCCTCGAACTCTGGGCCTCATCTCTTAGCCCTGGCGGCTGGGGCTGGGCCCAGCTTCAGAGTCTGGCTCTGGTGTCCCTTGCACCCCAGGGAATCGCAGCGTAGCTTGAGCAGCGGGTCCAGTGTGCTCGTCAGTCTCTGCAGCACCCCGCCCCGGGGCTGCCATGTGGGTCCCTCTGGGCTTCACGGGGACTGTTGGCACTTCATGGTGTTGCTGCTTTTCATGATCAAGACCGTTCTGCATCTTTCCCCGCTTTCCGGGCACAGAGAAGGGGCGAGGGGAGCTCACATGTATTGAGCACTCAGTGTATGCAAGGCTCAGTGCTTAATTAGGAATCAAAGTACGGAACATTTGAGTCCCTTCTATGTGCCGACTTGTCAATGGCTACCTACATACATGCTGTCTGTTGGTCCTTTAACAGCCCTGGGAAGTGAGTGGTGGGCTCATCACCGGCGAGGAACTCCCAGGCTCAGAGGGGTTAGGAGGCCTGGCCAGCATGACACAGCTGGTGGGGGTCTGGGCCAGGAGCCAGGCCCGGCGGTGATGGAGCCGCGGCATTTGTGGGAGCTGCTCTCGGCTGCGCCCCTGCAGCACCTGCAGGAAGGGGTCGTCAAGCAGCTGACAGAGCCATATGATGGAATATTCTGCAGTCATAAAAGCTGAAATTTTTTTTTACCAGAATAATTACTAATATGTATTTATAGCAAACACTTAACTTATAGGTAATAGAATTGGGCACTATCATTCCTGCTTTACGGAAATTTTAAATGGAACAAAAAGCAAGAGAAAGAAGCGATTTATACTAAGGTTAAAAACATGGAAAATACTAGATGTCATTTAGGGACACATAGAAGTGATAAGTGATCAATGGCGTGAGGATGGTTACTTCTAAATTCCACGGGTTGTAGCCTACCTGAAGACACAGGATGTGAGCAGGCGGGTAGACGTGGGGCTTCAGTGATGGGTGTTGTTTCTTTGGCCTATTGATGGGTACTTGGGCTTTCTTTGTGTTTTTGTATATCTTAAGTATTGCATGGGACATTTTTTTTAATTGACTTTAGAGAGAGAGGTTGATATGTTGTTCCACCTATTTATAAATTCATTGCTTGATTCTTATACGTGCCCTGTTTGGGGATCGAACCCTCAACCTTGGTGTATTGGGACGATGCTCCAACCAGCTGAGCTCCCCAGCCAGGACTGCATGGACCAGTTTTAAAATAACAGCTAGCAGCCCTGTGCACAATATGTTTCCACTTTGATTTACTGACATAGATATACAGACATACAAGCCTTGAGGAAATCGGAGGAAGTGTTAACAATGATTGTTCCTGGGCCGTGGGATGGCAACTTGTCACTTGTGTAATTTCTTCCTTGAATGAATGAGTCCTCTTGTGTCTGCTGGAAGAAAAGCAGAGAAATGGCCATGATTGCTAAGCCCCCCTCTTTGGGCAGGACCCCGATGGCTGGTGCGACCTGAGCAAGTTTGACCTTCCCGAGGAGCCGTCTGCGGAGGGCAGTGCCAGCAGCAGCCCAGTGCAGCCACAGCCCCCGCCGCAGCGGCAGGCCCCGCCGCCCCGCCCATCCGCAGCCCCCGGGCCCAGCGTGACCGAGTACCGCCTGGACGGCCACACCATCTCAGACTTGAGCCGGGGCAGCCGGGGCGAGCTGATCCCCATTTCCCCCAGCACTGAAGTGGGGGGCTTGGGCATCGGCACCCCGCCCTCTGTGCTCAAGCGGCAGAAGAAGAGGCGTGTCGCCCTGTCCCCCGTCACCGAGAACAGCGCCAATCTGTCCTTCCTGGACTCCTGCAACAGCCTCACCCCCAAGAGCACACCCGTCAAGACCTTGCCCTTCTCACCCTCCCAGGTGTGTGGACCCTACCCAGAGTGCTCACTGGGTTCTGCTTTCAGGCTCCCGGTGCCCCGTACAGGGCTTGGCACGCAGGGACACGCTGCTCAACAAGTACTCATGGATTGTCCGCTGCGTGTGAGGGCTGGAGGGGAAGGGTGGGCAGAAGCAGGCCTGGCCCTGCCCTTGCGAAGCTGACATTCTGACAGGAACACCAGTTAATAAAAGAGACCCTAGTACACATGACAACTGAAATGGAGGAGAAGGCTTACGGTGCAGCTAGTCTGGGGGGAGGGCATCATCCGGAAGGCTTCCCCGAGGAGGAATTGCTTGAGCTGAGGGTAGCAGGTGATAACTAGGCAGAGAGGGGAGGGACTCAGTATTTGTTAAAAGAATCTATTGAGGGTCTGTTTCATACTGGATTTGTTATCACTGGGGAGCAAGGGCAAAGAGGACAGTGAGTGGTGGGGGCAGGGTTGTCCCGAGTTGACCCGGAATGTAGTGTGGAAAGTGCTCAGCTCCCAGCAATTGAGAGCTTATTGTGCTCTGAGTCCTGCTCAGGAAGGACCCTCAGGTATCTGAGCTGGGTTTTGTTGATCAATTGACTTGAACAATGTGCAGACGGGGGAGGGCAGAGTGCCTGGAGTGAAGTCCGGAGCTGGGAGTGATTTGCGGGCAGGAGCCTTAAGTACAACTAAGGGATCTGTGCTGCCCCAGGGGTGGGGGTGGTTGGGCTCTGGGAGGAGGGACTGGAGGGGTGGGGAAGAGGCAGCTCCTAGAGTCCCCAGTCCTGGACTAGACCAGGGTGGGTGGAGGCTCCCTCCATCCCATGAGGATGTGCAAGACAGCGAGGCCCAGAGGCGGTATTTCAGGAGGCTATACCCTCATCTGCGGTAGAGGGACTGAGGCCAGGCCTATGTTGGGGACACTTGTGGTTTTTCCATGAGGGGCCCCGCGTTAATTTGCTACGGCTGCCATAACTACCACACACTGCATTGCTTAACAGAAAGTTCTGGAGCAAACAGGCAGGGTTAGTTCCCCCTGAGGCCTCTCTCTTTGGCTTGCCAGGGGGCTGACTTCTCCCCATCCCCTCACATGATCTCTCATAATCTCTTACCTTTTCTAATCTGCTCAGGACACCAGTCTTGGTTTTACTGGATTAGGGCACAGCCCCATGATCTCATTTTTACCTTAATCATCTCTTTAAAGGCTTTATCTCCAAATATAGTTCCAGTCATATGACTTCCATGCATATCCGTATTCCTGCTGTGCATAATGCACTCCTGTGTATATTGTGCAACCATGTTTTGGTGCACATTATACATGGGATTATACCCATGTATGACATCCCTATTTTTCCCTCAAAAATTTGGGCAAAAGCTTGCGCATCATACAGGGCAAACTACTGTAAATTTTGGGAGAACACAATTCAGCCCATAACAGACCCTAAGTTAGGACTACTGACCGGAGAAGGGAGATAGAGCCTTGAGCTGCCCAAACACCAGCCCAGGACGGTGAGGCCTGGCGGCCGCCTTGCTCTGAAGTCCCCACATAGGACAGTGGACCATATGGCCTTGAGCTACCCAGGGCACCCCTCAGGACAGAGACGGGGGCTTGGCTCAGATCTGGTTTGACTCCTGCCTCTGGAATTCAACACACAAATCTAAGTTGCTCTAAGCCTCAGTTTTCTCATTTCCAAAGGGGATCACAGTAGTGCCTGCCCCTCTGAGGCCCCAGGGGAACTCCACACGATTCTTGGGCGGGCGGCGTGGAAGTCCGCTCGCGCAGCCCTGGTGGGAGAAGGTGCTCTCTAAGTGTCAGCACAGGCAGTCGTGATTGTCTCCTGTCCATTAGAGGCCATTTAAAAGTTCTTCCCATAGTCCGTGTTCTTTTGTCCTAAGTACATGGCCAGCAGTACCTGGGGGTGGAAAATGACCTGCCCACGTGGCCAAAGGGGACTGGGGCAAAGGGCAAGCCCAGTGATCGACATGAGCCTGTTTGGTGGGTTCCTGCCGATCTGTCCCAGCATTTTTGTTCTCTGATGCCTGACTGGTGGGGAGTCTTCTATGTCAGGAGGGGACTACATCAGAGCAACCATGGCGGGGGGCTCGCCCCACCCCAGAGGACATCACTGTCTTGTTTCCTTGGTCTTCCCTGGCAGTTTTTGAACTTCTGGAACAAACAGGACACACTGGAGCTGGAGGGCCCCTCGCTGACATCCACCCCGGTGTGCAGCCAGAAGGTGGTGGTCACCACGCCCCTGCACCGGGATAAGACGCCCCTGCACCAGAAACACACTGTGTGAGTGCTGCCCCCATCCACCCACCCACCCTCTGCCGGCCCAGGAGTGGAAGACCTGCCCCTTCCCCCGGCACTGGCTGGTCCGCCGGGCGAGAGGGGGCGCCCTTGGAAAACCACCTGAGACGTGGGTATAGAAAGCAGGCCCCCTGGCCGCGGCACTCCTTCGTTTTTGTCGGTATAGGCTGGTCCTTTACCATAGGGTTTTTTTGTTGTTTGTTTACCATTCTAATTCCTTTTTATATTTTAATCTGATGGTTTCCTAAACTCAGGAATGGAGAGTCCAAATTCCTATGCAAAACCTAATCTCTGTGTTTTATAAGTTTCAAGCACGAATGTACTGTGTTTGAGTAGCCTTACGGGAAGGACACGAGCCGCCCCGCCCCCAGTCTGTCTGTCTCTGGTGCTTGGTCCGCAGTGAGGGCTGTGTCCTGCCTTCTGGCCTTCTGAAGCCTATACAGGTTGTGGGCTTCCTTGTGTATTTATGACTTTTTTTAAGTGTTAGATATTTTATGAAAGTTAACATTCTACAAAGTCATTCCTACAAATCAAACTTAAATCTCCGGGCGTACACACTGCCATCTCTGTAATATGCTAATCTTTCATCTCTGTGTGTCAGAAGGGACATGTGTTAAGGATAGAAAAAGTCCTTGAGAAGTCAAATCCACTGTCCATTTGTGTTGGGTAAGCAGCCTACTGTCTTCGTTTCATGAAATCCACGTTAAAAAAGCCGTCTTGGTTGCATGTTGTCACAGCACTCCTGTACTAACCCATTTTCCTCTGCTTCCCGTAGTGGCAGGGTCCATTTGAGGCTCTTAACCTGGCTGAGCGTAAGTGCTTCCACTAACTTCTGTTAGAGTCTCTGGAGTCCCAGTTTTGCTGTATAAAATACAGATTTTTGTAGATTTATCCTCTAACCTAAATCTTCAGTCTTCAAAATGGTTTATCTCAAATAAAAGAGCCATTTTGTTCAGAACCATCATCAACCAAATTTGGTTTTAATTTTGTAAGTTAACTGGGCCCAAGCCCACCCTCTTTGTGGCGGTGGTGGCAGCAGGTCTGCTCCCGCCCCAATTCTTCCCTCCCTCCTGCCTATTCATGATTCCTAATTCCTGGTGGAGAGAATTGCTAGACTGTGCTTCTGTTTGTTACATGAGCTGCGGGAGAAGCATCGCTATTTATTATTTCACGAGTAAGTTATGTGACTCAGACATTGGTTCGGGAATTTTAGCTTTTGTAATGATTCATGTTTCAGAAAAGATTTATGAGTCCCTTGGTCCAAAATCAGCCTCTCAACAGGTGGCCTGAAATCTAACATAGATGTGTTTCCTGAGAAATGAAGTTTCCTTCAAGCCAGAGAGGTCAAGGGCCAGTGGGGCAGGGCCTGGTTGAGCTGTATTGCCGCAACCCTAAGATTTTCCTGGTTCGTAAGATGAAGTCTTAAAATGAAGTCATCTTCTGGATTCGTGTTCTTTCCAGAGGGGAGGGTACCAGTGAGGCCTGGATGAGGCCTGTGCTTTCTGGGGTCTGCGCTTTCTGTGCCTTTGGTTTTCCAGCAGGAGCTGGGTGTAGAAATTGGAGGGAGACTAGTTGTGACCCTGAGCCGTGGGCTCTGTGTTGTTTTCTCAACGGCGTTTATGTTTTGGAGATTTCCGATACCTCTCTGGCTGTCGTTACTTTGTAGGAAATAAATCTTCTTCTCCCTGGGTCTTCGTAGGGCCTTTTTTTTTTTAAGGTATTCCTGAAATTTGCCAAGCTATAGGTAGCTGTGCTCTTTCTTAACTGGTCTCCCCCAGTCTTATTTCAAAGTCAAAACGAAACTTTGGGGAGAGCAAATGCGCCTTCATTTCTTTCATTCTTGTGTCTCTCCCTTTCTTCCTACCTTGGGTTCCTTCAGACACAGGCACGCCCGCCGGGGGTCTCTGGCTCTCCTCATCCTCACATTCCTGTTCATCACCTTAAGCGGTTTCCTTTGAACTCTGAGAGCGTGGTCTCGCCTTCCTGCTTGGTTTTCCGCTGTTTCCCACCTGCCGAGTCCTCTGGCTTCCAGAATTGCATGGTTTTCATCTCCAAGTCGTCTTGTGTGTTCCCTTTCCAGTCGGCCTCCCTCTGTTTTTCTAACATACATATGTTCTCAGTTCTGGCTGACACGACGACTTTGAGAGGTTCTAGAATTTTCTCACGGTTGTTGCCAAAGCTCCGTGTCTTGCAGAGATGTTGGAGCCTTGGCTCAGGTTCCCTCCTTTGAACTACGAGGTGTGTACATCTGACCGGCGCTCACCTGTCTGCTCATCCGTACAGAGCGGCCTCTGTTCCCCGGGTGGGAGATGACAAGGAAAAGGGGCCGGATGGTGAGGATCCCCGTCTAACCTCTCAGTCCCCAGAAAGGAGGAAATGAATGGTTTGAACTGTTCTAGCTTTTTACCTCCCTGTGGAGTGACTGGCGGGCGGAGGGAAGGGGCCGGCGCGGCAGCCCCGGGCAGCCGTGTCCGGGACTGGCCTCTGCCCCTGAGTTCCCGAAAGCCCGGGGTGTTTCTCACGGCCTTGGACCAGTCCAGGGAGCTTTGAGAGTCAGCTGTGGTGGTACACCCCACCCCCACCCCCGCTGACTGAGGTCGCGCAGGTCTCGTGCAGGTGGCACCCGGCACCTGCCATCGGAGCCGAGGCTTGTCCACGGCCAGCGGCCAGCCGCGCCTGCAGCCCTGCAGCTCGGGTGTGAGGGGCCTCTTCTGTCCGTTCCCAGCAGGCTTCCCCCATCGCAGGCAGAAATCACACATTGGTGGGGCCACATCTGGTAGAAGCTTCCTAGTATTTCTGCTTGTGGACCAGACCCTGCCTAGGTTTCTCTCTGCTAAAGCTTTCCCTCCACGTTTCGGTCCCCACTGTGGTCATTTTGAGGAGACTGGGGAAGACGGTAAGTTAAGCATGTGCGTTGGCCTCACCATCTCGCACCCTGCCTTTCCCTAATGATGGTGCGGCCACTCGCTCTCTGGAGAGAGGTGAGGGATGGACACGGCCTTCCTGGACCCCCACCTTCCACCCCTGCCCCTCTTGCTGGCCACAGCCCTCCTCGTTTTACGGAGAGTCCTCATTATAGACGGATGACCGAGCGGCCTTCTCAGCCATTCCTTCACCCACCTGGGTCTCCAGGACCCCCTTAGACTCTTTCTTGTCCTCTCCTGTTCCGAGGACGGCCCCTTCCTCTCGGTCCCTGATTATTGGGTGGGGAGGTGGGTGGGAGAGTGCTGGGGACCGTCAGAGCCTGTGCGGGGTGGGGGTTCCTCCCTGCTGCCGAGGCCAGGGGTCCAGGTGGAGGGGAGCTGGAAGGACAGCTGGTGTCTGTCCCCCACCCTGTCTCTCAGGCTCCTTCTCTGGCCCTCCAGGTTTGTAACCCCAGATCAGAAGTACTCTATGGACAACACTCCCCACACGCCGACTCCGTTCAAGAACGCCCTGGAGAAGTACGGACCCCTGAAGCCCCTGGTACGCGGCGTGGGCGGGCGGCTCTGCGGGACGGGCGGGGTGGGCGGCCTCCCGGGCCCTGCCCGGCCTGTGCCTGTGCGGCTCGCAGCGCCCTCTGAGACCTGCCTGGGTCCTTCCAGCAGCCCCAGGAAGTGGCAGATGGCCTAATTTTATAAATGGGGAACCTGAGGCTGAGTGTACTCATCAGTTCATCAGACCTTTCCTGAGCACCCGCTACGTGCCAGGCAGCGGTGGGGGGTGGTGGAGACGCAGCTGCCCAGTGTCCTGGGGAAGCTCGGCGGGGGGGGCAGGGGGGAGGGTGGAGACGGACACTAAACCCACGAATGCATAAATGAGTGCCCCCAGCACATCGGAAATGCTGGGAAGAGAACAGACAGGTGCTGGGATGGAGAAGGACTTGTTCAGACGCCGGAGCTAATTTGGGGAAGTGGTGCGTCGCCCCTCAAACCGCAGCCTTTTGCCCGACTGCTGGTTCTTTACAAAGCACAGGAAAGCCATTCCTGGGCGGGCCGGAGGTGGCCAGTGAGGACGTGTGCTGCACCCCCTGCCCCTCCCAACTCATGGCAGGGTGACGCTTTTCCATGGACAAAAGGCTGCTGGCACTTTGGGGGCTCTGAGACAGAGGCAGCTCTTTCAGAAACCAGTCGAAGATGAGAGAGAGGCTGGTTGCAGAGCAGCATGCGACCTGTGAGCCAGGTCTGCAGCGAGGTCCCCTCTCCGCCTCGCCCCTCGCTGCGTGGGGTCCTCATGCAAAAGCCTGGCAGCGGGGGCCGTGCTGTCCCCGTCCCGCGGTGCAGCTGAGTGACTTACCCAGGCCAGGTGCTGCTGAGCACTGCCCTTTCCCATCCGAGGGTTTCTGTCTCGCCTGTCTGCACCTCCTCCCGACAGGTCTGAGAGGGCAAGGCTCATGTAAACCTGCCCTTGCAACTGTCACGAAAGCACCGCAGGGCCTCTCAGAGCGACAGGCGTTGGTGTACAGCACACCCGCGGCCGCTTGGGAGCGCTCGCCTTCCTCCGGCGTCTGCCACCTGAGGTCTCAGAGATCACCTGGAGCCTCCAGGCCTGAGAACAGGAAGTGGAACGGGCGTTCCCAGTAGTGTGCAGCAGAGGGGCGAAGGAGTGGGGGCCTTGAGTGCGTCCAGGTTCCGATTCCACAGCGGAGTGGCCCTGCCCCAGGCTCTTGCTCTCTCTGCGTCCCCCGTTTCCACCCCGTGGAAGACGGCCTGTTTTGCGTGGGATGTGGGACGGTTGCTATAGTGACTTGGGGATGCTCCTGGCCCGTGGTGGCCCTCTGTGCATTGTGGTCAGTGTCTGCTTGTCCAAGGCGGGACAGTTAATGGAGGGGGCCCGCGTCCTGGCACTAGACGTCCTCCCTGCGTTGCCCGGGACAGCCGGCGTGCGCCCCTGACCCATGTCCGACAGCCAGGGAGCCTCACACGGCCCCCTCTGCCCCAGCCTCAGACCCCGCACCTGGAGGAGGACTTGAAAGAGGTGCTGCGCTCCGAGGCCGGCATCGAGCTCATCAGCGAGGACGACGTGAGGCCCGAGAAGCAGAAGAGGAAGGCTGGGGTGAGTGGGGGGAGATGAGAGGCGTGGCCAGGGAGTAGGTCTGGGCACAGTGGGTGAAAGCCACTGTTTCCACGAAACCGGCCAAGGTGGGGCCCTGGTGTCTGGGACCCTCCCCTGCTCCTCTTGGACCAACCCGTAGCTTTTCAGCATCACGTCCCTTGTGAAGTGGGGTGGACAGAGCTGTGAAGACCCATGCGTGGTCGCTCCCTCCTAGAGTTCAGTGGGCAGAGACACACTGGCAACTCTTAGGACATACACACAGGAGACAAACCCAGAGAGGATGTTCCAAGGGAAATCCTTCCGATGGAGCGGGCCAGGCGTCTGGGCCGTGTGAACCAGGTGGCGGGGAGTCGGGTCAGGGGAGGTGGAGAGCTGGCAGGGACACTGGCCAGGTATACCTGGGCGCAGAGGACATGGCCGGGGCTGTCCCAGGCCAGCCTCTCCCCTGCCGCCCTTCCTGTGTGGATTCCCGGTAGCCGGAGGACTTTGTGTCCCTTTGTTGTTGTGTCCCCGTTTCCCCCTGGATGCTCCCTGGGGAGAAGCAGGAAGATGGGAACATGCCAGGATGGCAGGTGGAGGCTGTGCGGGACGAGTGGGGGACAGCCGGCCGTCGGGCTGGGCGGACCCACTGGCTGGGGCCCCTGGGTGTTATGGGTAGAGAGAACTTGGCCCCAGGCCTTCCCGGGCCCCTCCTCCATGTCTGATGGAGGTTCTGAGCCATGACCGCTCCTGTCTGGGGTGCACTGCCGGCTTGGGGGGCCCTGTTAGTCCCAGAGCCCCTCCCTGGAATTGGAGCCGACCCCTGACCAGTGGATGGAAGGTCAGGTGGGCTGGGGCATCCCTGTTGCAGGTGTTGGTGGGGGGTCTGTGTTCCGTGTGGGTGGGGGCACTGGGTGTACCTTGGATGATTATTTTGTGGGCCTCTTTGGGGCGTCGGAGGCATGGAGGCTGCACTGGGTCCATTTGGGGATGGGGAGCGGGTCTGGGGGTAGAGGCTGGTGTTTGCGCGTTGTTCACTGCTGTAGCGTCTGGTGATCGGGCGGGAAGGTCTGCCCTGGGTGCAGAGTCGTCAGGGGGGCCAGTGTTGCCAGGGCCCCCGAGCCCCAGCCCCGCCCCCCCCCCCCCCCGGCATATATCCTCTCCAGCCGGGCCTGGCTCGAAGGCTCTGCTGCATTTGGCCCAGTTCTGGGAGAGGATGGCTGGGGCCCCAAGGGATCCCCAATCCTGCCCTAATCGCCTCCTTCCTCCTTACCTCTAGCTGCGGCGGAGCCCCATCAAGAAAGTCCGCAAGTCCCTGGCTCTTGACATCGTGGATGAGGATGGGAAGCTGATGTCCACAGTGCCCAAGGCTCTGTCCTTGGTAAGGGTCTGAGAGAGAGAGGCTGTGTCCCCCCTGCAGAGGCTCTTCTGCCCCATCTGCGGATGGACTGTCCCTGGGGGCCTCTGCCTTAGGGACCCTGTGGTTGTGGGGAGGACCCTGGAGGGGGAGCGAGTCTGATGGTCTCAGAAGTGGTTTAGGTGTACACGCCCGGGCTCAGCAGAGGGGCTGATAGGGAGGGTGGGGCTGGACAGCGGCCCCAGCTTCAGTCTTTCCAGGAAGTTCTATTTGGCGAGAGTTGTGTTTGTTAGGATACAAAGCCGTGGGTCCGGGTCCCCAGCACCTGCATTTGGGTCCTGCTCATGGGGGTGACTGCAGAGGTACAATGACGTGCTTTGAGCCCAGCCAGGTGGTTGGGGCACATCACCCTGGGGTGGGTGCTGTCCGGTTCCCAGGCTGACCTTGGGAAGGGGGCTGTTGCCTACACAGAGACTAGCTCCCCAGGTCCCATGCCCCAGTGTTGGTCCCTTGAAGCTGATGGCGGGGCGAGTCTGCCTTGCCCTGGCGCCCAGTGGGAGGCAGTGAGCAGCACCGAGGGGCACTGTGAGGGCCCTGCGAGAGGCTTTGCTGGCTAGATCTTGCTAGTGCCCCCTGTCCTTGCAGAGAAACCTCAGTCTGGACTTAGCACCCTCCAGCCAGACCTGCAGCTGGAATTGTGTAAGGCACATAAGTTAATCACCAAAAAGAAAAGAAAAAACCCATTATGGCAAGCGGTTAAGAGCACCGGATTTGGAGAGGTGGGCCTGGGTTGAGCCCTGACACCAGCCCTTGGCCTTAGATCTCTCAGGGCCCTGAGCCACTGGCTCCTGCCTCCAGGACGCGCCCCGAGCCCCGCAGGCTGTTAGGGGCTAAAGGCTAAGCAGAGCGGGGAGCTGGGCAGGCCTGGCATGCTTTGTGGCGCCCCTTGTGGGTGCTGGTAGGTCCAGGCATCGGTCTGACCGCTGGTGGATGTTCTGGTCCCAGGAGAAACCAGAGCACCCTCGCTTGAGGCTGCTGGGTGGGGACGAGGGAGCCTCATATCAAAGGACCCAACATTGAGCACTTACAAGGTGCTGGGCTCTGAAATATTGGCACTTTACCAATATTTTCCTAATCTGATCTCCCTACCTGGAAGAGAAAAACCAAGGCTTAGAGAAGGTAGCGTTCTGTCCCAAAGTCACCACAGCCAGGAGGCGGTGGTGCTGAGACATGACTGGTTTTTGTTTTTTGGGTTTTTTTTTGAGTGTGTGGCAAAATGGCAAGTCTTTAACTTGGGTTTGATTTCAGCCAACACACGTCCCATCGAGCTCTTCCGGCCTCACCCTGCCAGGCATCAAAGGGGACAACAGTTTACTCAACGAGGGCTTCCTGCAGGCCAAGCCCGAGAAGCCAGTGACATCCCAGAAGCCCCGAAGCCACTTTCCAGTACCTGCCCCTGTGAGTGCTCGCCATGAAAATGGCACCACCCGTGGGGACTTGCTCAGCCTGTCTTCTCACCTCAGGGCCTTTGCACAGGCTGTTCCCACTGCCTGGATTCCTGGTCAACTTAGGTTTCAGGTTTCAGTCCAGATGCCCCTCCTGCAGGGAGGGAACCGCATACTGGGGTCCCCCTTGGGGGTCTCATTTGTAATTAATTAACTTGTCTCCGCCTGCCCCTGCCTGAATGTCTGCATGTGTGAACCCCTCCTCACCAGCCTATAGCTCTTCCTCACTTGGAGCCTGGTGCCGCAGAGGGGTGTGGCCATGTCTTCTGGTCCAGGAGCCCAGAGATGGGAGTGACTTCCCCAGGGCCACCGGGAAGGTGGAGCGAGCACAAGGGGGCTGGCCTCCAGAGGCAGGGTCAGAGAAAGGTCCCCCGCCCCTCCCGTCAGGCTCACGGGGGTCCCCGGCAGCCTGCTGTCCCTGCCTGCTTGGTGACCTCCTTGCCTCCTCCCAGATGACCAGCGCCTGGAAGACAGTGGCCTGCGGGGGCACCAAGGACCAGCTCTTCATGCAGGAAAAAGCCCGGCAGCTCCTGGGCCGCTTGAAGCCCAGCCACACGTCTCGGACCCTCATCTTGTCCTGAGAGGCTTGGCAGCCAAGAGCCCGTTCTCATGTTTACAGGGGGCTGGGGGGCTGAGGCTGGTCTGTGAATTTGAGAACCACACTCAGGGGACCACCTGCAGGAGCCTCCTGCCGCCAGCCCCTTCCCAGATCTCAGGTGGAGATGCGGGGCCGGCACTGCCCTGAGTGCAGCTCCGCCCGCGGCCGTTTCTGGTGCTAACGGAACAGTCCCATCCGGGCCTCGTCCCTCGTCCCTCGTCCCTCGTCCCTCATCCCTCATCCCAGGGCCGCAGGGAGCCCTAGGGTCAGGCTTGGCCTCATCTCAGACCCTCGCTGAGGACGGCACCGGCCGGTGTGCTTCCTCCTCAACCCGTTGATGTATTTTCTTGAAAGAATAAATTTGCCTTTTTCCTTGTACTGCTTCCTTTCCATCTTCCTGGGCCTTCCTTGCTCAGTTTCCTGGTGACCCGAGGGGTGTGGGCACAGGGGCCCTCCTTCTGAGTACAGCCTTGTCTGCGCAGCACGGCCCTGGGGCTCTGGACCTGCCCTCTTCACCGGGTCCCTTTTGTGTCTGCGCTCAGTGGGCGCCTCTCAAAGCTCTGAGGACGGCTGCTGGGTGAGGGTAGGGGGTGGTGCACAAGAGTCTTGCTTGGCCCTTGCTGCGGATGGTTGGCCTGGCCTGCGACGAGCCAGCCCTGGGTCAGGCTGGTGAACGAGGAAGGTGACTGGCAGCAGGGCAGGCTGGCCGCAGTGGCCCTACTTCCCCAAGGCCCTGGCGACATTTGCAGCCTGGGCTGTAGCCTTCCCTGGTCATGGCCCAGTGGGCAGACTGGCACTTGGCTGATAGCTGGGAAGAGTCACTGGGCATGGACATGGGGCAAGTGCCAGGTCTGAGATCAGGGATTGATGTTTCTAGCAGTGGGGTTCGCTGGGTGGTACGTGTCCATCCTGGGGGACTGAGGTCTCAGTTCATTGCAGCCAGAGGGAGCTTTTGGGGGTGAGGGGGCTGTTGGGAGCAGGCCAGTCTCCCTTGGTGAGGAGTGGGGGAGGTAAAGACATTCAGTGAAGCTGTGGGGACTCATGTTTAGGTGCAGGGCATTTAAAGCCTGCGATAGGGAGTAAATATTTTGCAGTTTTGTAAATCCCCTTTAATAAAAGGCCATTGTTTTCTAAGATATTTTTATTAATACTTGTCTATTTTTTTTTCCTCCACTGCTTTCAGTCCTTTTAGATATATCCCCAGGAGTGGAATTTGTGGATCACATGGTAATGCTATTTTTAGTTTTTGTTTTGTTTGGATTAGGTTTTTCGTATTTTCAGGAAAAGCCGTTTTCTGCGTTACTTGAGGCCTTTGCAATGGACGGTGTGAGTCTATCGCCACCTGGTGGTCATTGGTGTGTTTGCAGCAGCAGGTAAAGTGGGCCGTCACTGCTGCTTGACAAATATCTTGGAAGGTCCTTGAAGAATGTTTCTGATTTTATGGCTCCCTCTTTGGCATCCTCAGCAAGCAGTTGTCTGACCTTTGTCTGAACACCTCCGCTGATGAGAAGTGACTTTATTTATTACTCGGCAGCCAGTTCCCTTGTGGGACAGCGATTGTGAAGAAAATCATTGTTTATCCAGAGGCATGAAATCTCCCCTTTGTCGTATCTAAAGTGAAAGGAATGACTAAGGTGCATGGGAAGCTGGTCTGGGGGGAAATCTGGGAAAACAGCACAGGCAGTTGATAGGTTGGGGTTCGCTGAGGGTCTGACTACCGGAGTGAACTGCTTTCTCAGCAGACCCCTGCGTGAGTCAAGCCTGCATGAGTCAAGCCTGCGTTCTAGCTCTGTTTTGAGACCGCCGAGGCTCTGACTTGGTGACAACAGTGATGTAACCGCTTCTAAGATGGATCTGTTTCCACCTTCCAGATGTGTTTGAAAGTAATTGAAGCTGAGTTCGGATGTGAGCTGAGAATCAGACCTCTCGCTGATGCAAGCCAGTGGGCCCAGCTGGTCAGGCTGAGGGTGTGATACTATGTGTTAACGAGGGCTGACCCTCTGGTGTTCAGGTTAAAGAGCATAACAAATGGGACAGTCTGGCAAGGCCGGGTGCAGAGCCTGAGCCTCGAATGCTCTTCAGAAAGGCGTGGCTGAGAGGACGTCTGTGCCCCGAGTCCCTGCACCCTGTCTGAACTGTAACCCAGGCCCAAGCACACAGCAGGTGCTCAGTGAATGTCTTCCTGCCGTGAAGTGGGGTGGCCAAGAACCAATCGTGGGGCAGCTAGGACCAGAGCGGGGAGCCGGGGGGGGGGGGGCTTCATCATACTTTTGTGTTGATTTCTAGTGTAATTCTGTGTTTGAGGAACAGAGTCTGTGTGGTTTCAAATCTTTGAAATGTGTTGAGACTTGCTTTTATTTTTTTTAATCTTTTTAAAAAATTTATTTTTTTTTATTATTTTTAGAGAGAGAGGAAGGAAGGTAGAAAGAGAGGGAGAGAAACATCAATGTGCGGTTGCCTCTCGTGTGCCCCCCACTGGGGACCTGGCCTGCAACCCAGGCATGTGCCCTGACCGGGAATCAAACCGGCGACCCTTTGCTTTGCAGTCTGGTGCTCAATCCACTGAGCCACACCAGCCAGGGTGAGACTTGCTTTATGATGGAGCATATGATCAAATTTGTAAGTGTCCCCCAGCATCTGAAAAGAAAAAGTGTAGTCTGCAGACATTGCTAATCTTACCCTCCAAATATCCAGTATCCTGGGTTTTTTGTCTGCTTCCTGTGGATCTGGATTAACTAACCCCCAAATGACTCATGATAAGACTGCTCTTTCAAGCGGCTGAATGTTGGGGTGGTTTGGTCTCAGTGTTACTATGGCAACAACCAAAAAACCCGAGGAAAATGAACAAGGCTCCCTGGGCTCAACAGGGTGAAGAGAGAACTTGGGAGACCCAGAACTTTGCTGGAAATGAGCGGGATGAGAGATTCAGGAATCCGGACTGTTGTGACTGCCTGTGCCTTGATTGTTTCCGGAACATCCAGCCAGCCTTCCATGGCTCTCTGCGCAGCCGCGGACAGGGCTCTGAACTGGGATCAGACAGGCCTGAATCAGCTTGGCTATTACTATATTAGTTGTGCCTCTCCTGCCATAAGCCATGGAGTCTTTAGCTACACAATGGGGAGAATCCTTAACCTTTCAGAGTTGTTGAAGGAATTGGAGGGAACATGGGGCTCCAAAAATATGGGCTCTTGTGATATTATCACAAAAGCTTTCTCATTCTTAGGCACAGTAAATCCTGCTAAAGAGTGGTATCCACGCTTCAGCTGAGTGCTCTGAGTAGAAGTCTCTAGGTAGTGACTTCTTGGGCTTGCAGGCTGTATTGTGATCATCTGTTTCATAGTTATCAGCCAGGGAAACAGTGTGGTGCAGGAGGAAAAAAAAGCATGAGCATCAGGTGTATGTTCAAGTTTTAAAGACTTTCTGTGAAAGTTGAACACGCACATCACAAGGGACAGCTGGATGAATTTCCACAAAGTGAACACACCCATGTGACCAGCGCCTCAGAGTTCCCCTCTGCGCACTGTCCAGGGTAACCACCATCCTAAATTTGAACACCACAGATTTGTTTTGTTTTTAATTTAAATGCATAAACTGAATTTCACATTATGTGAGACATTCCCCATGTTGATTTGGATAGTTACGGTTCGCTTATTCTCGTGACCATGTAGTATTCCACTGTGGGACTTTCCTACCGTGTACCCTTCTGCAGGACATGCGGAGCATTTCCGGGTTGGCTGTGACAGGTAGTGCTGTTATGCACAGTCTGTCCTCATCTCTCAGCGAACTCACGTGTATTTTTCTGGTTTATACATAGCTATGACTGGCGTTGTGGGAGATGGGTCCAGTTTAGTTCGGTCCCTTGCCACTTTGTGGTTTTGTGAGCCGAAGCATGTTATATAGCTTCTCCGAGACTCACTTTTCATATCTGTATATTGGCAATAAAAATGCTTGCCCCTTAGTGTTGTGGCCAGGATTTCATAAAGTAGTATCTGCAAGGCACCTGCCCCAGTGTAGCTGCCTTTCTTTCCCTCAGCCCCTTCCTTGCCAGAGTCCCGCTGTCCCAGGACATGGCTTCCCTGCTAGGCTCCCCCTCTACCAGGAATCCTGCCCATGAACTTGGGAAGCTTGCCTGCTGCCCAGGGCTGTGGGGGCTGCCTTTATCCCGCCCACTTGCCAGCTCTCCTTTGTGATTCAGTCACTGGCGCCCAGCCCAGCACTTGCTTGCTGTGGTCACTGTCACTGGTTACAAGTGTTCTTATGATGGTCCCTGTAAGAGTGTGGCTTCCAGCAGATGTTCTCTGGAGCCAGGCCTGATCGAAGCAAGAAATGAGGACTGAGGAGAGGGAACAGGTGGCTGGGATCCAGCGCAGGAATGCGGAACAGACATTCTTGCCTGGTCTTTCCCTCCAGATCTGCAGGCAGAAGTTTTTCTCAAGTCCCTAGGTTTCCTTCTCTTCCCGAAACACCTCTAATCAGGCCATGAGCGTGTCAGTGGGCCAAGCGGGAACCTGCCCCCTGGAGGCTCTGCCAAGACAGTGCTGACTTCACTTGTTATATAGCATCAGCCTGGAGCAGTGTTGAGAAGGATTCGGAAGGTACGGTCCAGGCTCGGGAGAGTGCTGTGGTTGATTAGTTAGGTCTGCCACCTGCGTGGAAGTGGGTCGAGGTGATGCAAATTTCACATATTCACTACTGTCTGCTTGATCAGAAGGGAGCTGTGTTTGATTTAGATAGATAAATGAGTGTTTTTAAAGAGGTGTTAGATCCTTTCACCTTTATATGATTATTGATATATATATATGTGTGTGTGTGTGTATATGTATATATATATATATATATATATATGGATTGATTTCTGCTGGTGGAGCTTTCTCTATTATTCCTTTCGCCCCTTTCTTTGTTGAATTTATCAAGTTTTCTGTCACCTCCTGATCTCTTTTCTCCTCTTGACTGGTTTGGAACATACAAAAAATATTTCTCATA